AGCTCGGACTTGGGGAGCTCAGTTTTCACGGAGCTCGGGTTCTTTAGGGAGCTCGGGCTCCTAATACCGAGCTCGGACTTGGGGAGCTCAGGTTTTAGGGAGCTCGGACCTTCGACAGGGGGCTCGCTCTTTATCAAGAAGCTCGGACTAAGTACAGCGGCCCGGAGTTCGGGCTCGGTAGTGAGTTCGGACTTGCTTCCGGTGTTCGCTTTGGGTGCTCTACTGTCCCGAAGTGCTTGCTTTTGCCGCGTGTCGGGCGATCGCGAGGTCGGGCCAAATTTCCCTTCATCAGGTTCTGAAAGAAGAATTCTGAAATTTAAGAGCTGTAAGAGACCATTTAGGAAATTTAAGAGACAAGGAACGGCTGTAAGAGATAAGGAAGGAAATTTAAGAGCCATCTTTTCAGGACCTATGGGAAATGGAGACTCTTTAAAGGCAGAACTATATGCAGCCCTACAAGGCATTCAGGTTGCAAAAGAATTAGGCATGGAGAAATTGATGACAGAAGAGAACTCCAAGGTGGTGATGGGTTGGCTAAAGGACCCAGATTCAGTGATTTGGTATTACAGAAATGAAATGAAGAAGTTCAAATAGCTAACACAACAGATGGTGTTAACTATACAATGGGTGGGAAGGGAGGCCAATACCTTGGCTGATTCTCTAGCTAAGCAAGGGGTAACTAGGGATCAGATGTACTGGGCCCATTTGTAAATCTGTTATATTTTTTTGTCAAAGAGTGAGGCTGCACCTCGCGCCTCACATTGGGATATCAGATGCCCCTCTGGATCATTTTCTGCTCTATATTTCTAGTTGTTATTTCTTTCTCTGCACTTTACATGTTGACAATTACATGGTGCCTAGAAGCCCTAGTCAAAAGGTTAACTTGCATTTGACAAGTCATGCTTAGCAGAATTAGGCCAAATATCTACATGAATAGATGATAGGCACCATCCAATGTCATATGCAAATGAACATAACAGTTCTGGTTGGAAGTCCAGAAAAGCCTATTTATTCCAGTAATCCTAAAGTAGTAAATATGTAAATTGGATTATTGTTATCATTTGAGCATGTTGAATGCGGTGTAAGCTTTTGGACACTATTATCCAAAGGTGTTTCCTTACTACCCTATGTCCACTAAACTCCATTATAGATGTTTCTACCAGTATAACACTCAAAAAGGCACCATTGCAAATATAAAAATGTTAGACACCATTGCAAGTGCCATGCCATTACCTGGAGATTATTTGATCAGGTTCTTTGGCAAATGAGACAGCAAGAACTAAATGTAGCAGGTCACGGTTGATATTCACCAAAACTAATCGTGTAGGGTCTGCTGCAGGCTCTGCACCAATTGGAAGAGCTGAACGTGGTGCCTGGGGCCCACCACCAATCTTATAGACAAACAAATCACTGAAATTTGCAATGTTTGAATGTGGGGAAAGATCATTTGCAAGGCCATAAAAATATTCCTGAAAGAAGCCAAAATCAGCATGAAGCAATCTCATCATTCTAACTGGAATGAAGTATATGAGCTCAGACACAAATATTTTTTTGGGTAAATTACAAATTACAGCCCTGCACTTTGGGGGTAGTGACACTAGCCCCCTGAACTTTCATTTGCAACAAAACCCCCCTGAACTTTCAGATTCCAAAACTTTGCCCCAACACTAGCATACCATCAGTTAACTTTGAAAAAGATACTCGTCTCACTGTCATGTGAGTGTTAAACATGTCTAAATCCCCAAACCACCCATTCCTTAATTTTTGGGACCATTTTGTCCTTTCTCTTACATATTTGTATAAACCCTTTGTCCTGCCCATTTTTGTTATTTTGAAATGTCCTCCTGCCCATACAAATATCTTCAAAGGGTATTTTATCTTCCGTCAACCAGTTAACACGGGCGGGGGGAATGTTGGAATCTGAAAGGTCAGGATGGGGGCATTTGTCGCAAGTGAAAGTTCTCTGCACTTTACCCTTTTTCCCTGATCAGTAGACACCATTATACTTAACTAACAATTAAAAACATGAAAAAGCAGGCAAATGCAAATCACTTTTAACGACCAAGGGCTATATTGTAAAGTAGAAATGTTTTTGAAACAATGCAATCATGGAGACAATGGGAAGCTAAAGCGTTCCCTATAGGACCTTCCGTATTGACAATGTGTTCAATCTGCAGTCCACCTTGGACTTAAACTAGTGTTTTAAAAAGCAGGAAGCACAAGGAATTTACTAGAGCCTGAGACATGTGCATGAACAAAGTGAGTAGGAGTCTAGGACTTTTTTTTTTTTTTTGCTGAAAGTGAACATAGAAGGTGGCAAGCAGAATACAGAGGATGGATCCCCAATGATTAGAGTTCTCCATGTGACCCAACTAACAGAACCCCAATCCTCTCTTTTTTTTTTCATTGTTTGGGGGTGGCATTTAATTAATCTTTATGAATCAAAATTGATCAGGGGGTTTCTTTGATTTTTTCCTTCTTTTTCTTTTTTGGCAGAGACCTTGCATAAGAATATAGATTGTATTAAATCAAACATCTCTAATAAATAGTAACAGAAATCAAATCTCCATCCAAGACCAACCAGTCTAGAGCCAGAACCTTACCCTTATCCTGTAGCTCCTGGTCTTCTGACGAAACTTTGTATTCCTGGACACAACACCACCTGACTTTTGAAGCTTCACAACATCCACATTAGGCTTGTTTTTAAGTACGTCTTTAAGCATGCTGCAAAGTTTTTCCTGCACAGAATTCATTAAAGCACAAAGTTAACAGTAGATAATCCCATGGTACTGTGAGATTTTCACCCATCTTTACTCCATAAGTCATTTCAGAGAAATCAACCCCAGGAGTAACCCAAAGACAAGGACCAGGATATGAATACAGCATCAACTATTGTCTCTGTTAAATTGAGAAGAAGGTTGCATATTCCACAAGAGCCATAATTAACCAATCAGGGAAACTATATGCTTGTATGAGTTTTGTAAGAACCTCATTGAATCAGTAAGAATACCATGCATGCATGAGTTTTATGAGAACTTCCATTGATATTTGATAAGAATACCAGTAACCATATGTAAATTCTGTTGATATTACAGTTACATAAGGGTCTGTCCAAACTTTAGCGACTATAGAGTAGGGTGGCAGTGTAGAGTTGAAGTGAAGCAATTAAAGCACCAAATTTGCTAATTCCAAAGTTCTGGAGAACTGTTGGAGTGCACACACATATATTTATGTGCTCGTGCAGCAGAGCGGGGAGGGAAGGATGATGATGTGGAACTGTAGGTGCCTACTTCAGTCCCACAGCATAAATGAGGCCAATTTGTCATTCTACTTTAGAAAAAAATAGAAAATCATCATTAAGGCTGAATTTACTGATAATAATTTGCATAAAAACGACCACTGATTTTCAGAAAAAGCAACCAATTTGGTGGACTCCATTCCAGCTATTCAACACTAAGTAGGGATTTTTTTTTCTCTTTTTTTGGGTGTTAATACTAGGTAGGGATTTCAATTTGCTGAACTGTGAAATGTGAATGATAGCTGAGATCAATAGGACTGAACCTGCTCTGATACCATGTCAGTGCAATTCTTACAAAAGAAAAAACCTTTCATTTGTTTGTCCCCAAACTGGTGTGTACTGTGCAATTCTCACAGGGGACTGTTACCACTTACTAGTTTCTTGTTCCTTTGCTGCAGCTCTTTGAGACTGGATGTAAGGAATGTATCTTGACCAGGGCTATCCATTGGCTGAAATCCTTGGCTTCTTTCAGCTCTTTTTCATTTGACGACATCTGGAGGAATTGGGCCACAGTTGCACACACTACAGTTTGGGTAACTCCTCCAAAAAGATTTTTTAAACTGAATTTTGACGGAAGCAGTAAGGGTAACCCAGGACCGTCTGGCATTGGAGGAGTATTGATGAATGAGAATGGCAACATCATATCCTTATTCTCAGGCCTAATAGGGATAGGGGACTCTACAAGAGCTGAGATATTGGCTGCAGTACAAGAAATTCAGATTGCTAATCAACTAGGAGTGGAGAACCTATTAATTGAAGGGGATTCTAAGGTGATTGTGGGCTGGCTGTCAAATCCAGACTCAGTTGTTTGGAGTTATAGGGATCTCATCAAAAAAGTTAAATGTTTAACAAGGCACATAACATGTAGATATCAGTGGGTAGGTAGGGAGGCAAATGCCTTGGCTGATTATCTTGCTAAACAGGGGTCTACTAGGGACCAGTTATTTTGAGCAGCATTGTAATTTTATTTCTGATCTCTTGTAATGTTTAGGGGAGGTTGCATCTCGTGCCTCTCCAAGGGATTCTTGTAAAATCTTATTTCTCTTGATTAAAGAAATCATTTTCAATTATCAAAAAAAAAGTTGCAAAGAATAAAGAGATACGAGAAAAGAATAGAAAGAATGTGTACAAACAAAGGTAAAATTACAAATTCATCAAAAAATTAAAGCTAAAATTACACATTAACCTTCACTATCTCTATACCTGATTGTCATAGTTAGGTAGTATATCCTTAAGGTAACCTCTACTTTTAATAGGACAATGGGTTGTTCTTGTACCATTTGGTGTAACAATAGCAGACATGTCTTCACTAGATTATTTGGTTTTTCATTTGATTGGTAGCAGCATTTTTATGTTTTATTGGAAGATTGCAAGAAATCGTTGTGACTATGTAAACTCATCAAAAGAAAATCACCTAGGCATGCATTCATTGGGTGATTTGGTTTATCCTTTGATTTATAGCATGTTCATGTTTTTTCGGAGGCTAAAGAAAGTGTAATGATTAATGTAAACTCATCACTCTACATATTAGGATACCTTCGTATTTCTTGATATTCCTAGTAAGGTAATGGAGCCTAGAAATTATCTCTATTTTTTCATATGATAGTGGTTGTTAGTTCATGTATCACTTGGGGTAGCAACAAGGCATGCATTCATTGTGTAATTTGGCATTTCATTTGATTGATAGAATGTTGTGTTTTATCCAAAGGTCACAAGAAAATGTTGCAACCATGTAAACTAATTGAAGCCAAACCACCCAGCCATGCACTCACAAGGTGATTTATTAGCATGTCCATGACTTATTAGAGGATCACAAGAAAGTGTTGTGTTCATGTGAACTCATCAAAATAAAATCATCCAAGCATGCACTCACTAGGTGATTGGGTTTTTCTTTTGATTGATGATTTGGGTTTTAAAACTTGTGATAAGCTTCAAAGGAAGAGGCCAAACTGGTGCTTGTCCCCCAATTGGTGCAGCTTATGCAAGCTTAATGGTGAGACTGCAGTTCATCTCTTAATCTTCTGTCCTTTTGTTGGCTTTATCTAGGAGCGGTTTGCTTCACTTTTTGGTTGCAAGTGGCTCTCTCCCGTTAGCTTGGGAGGGTTGTTTAACCCTTCTGTTTGTAGTTGTTCTACTAAAAGGGGCAGACTGATGTGGAAATGTACAAGGGCAGCAGTGATTTGGACAGTCTGGGAGGAAAGAAACTCTAGAATTTTGGGGGGAAAGGAAAGGAATAAAGAAGCATTGCTTGAGGTCATAACCCTATGAGTGGCACATTGGGTTAAGACCTTGAATCTATTCTCAGACTTTAAGATTGATGATGTCTTCAGAACTTGGGGGGCTATAGCTGCCTCATCTTCTAGAAGACAGATTGCATCAGTGGTCTGGTCTCCTCCGCCTTGTAGCTGGTTGAGACTGAATTTCGATGGGAGTAGTGTGGCCAATCCAGGCCCCTCTGGAATTCGAGGGGTTATCAGCGATGAGGAAGGTAATATATGTGCCTTCTTCTCAGGCGCAGCTGGGCAAAGTGATGTGGCAACAAAAAAAAAGAAGGGGGAAGGAGTTTCCTAGTACCAAAGGAATGATATCTCAGGAGATTCAAATGGCTCTCCAGGGACATGTTTATTCAAGTTAACTGGGTTAGAAGATCAGCCAACAGTTTTGCAGATGGTTTAGCTAAACAAAGGATACAAAGGCAATCTACGTTTTGGGCTTAGTTGTATATTTGGGGAGTTTAAACACTCGGTGTCAAATTGTATCCTTCACAACTTCTTATTGTGCTGCCTTAATTAGCTTAATGAAATCTTTTTTATGAGTTATTGATCCAAAAAAAAAGTTAGTGCGTTATTGGAGAGTCACAAGAAAGTATTGTGACCATGTGAACACATCACAACAAATATTAGCTACCTTGGCAATTCTTGATTGTCATATTAAAGTAGTAGACTTTAGAGGTAGTCTCTATTTTTTTTTTTTTTTTCATATGCTAGCAGGTTGTTTTTGCATCATTTTGTGTAGGAAAAAAACATGCACTCACCGGATGATATGATTTTCATTTGATTGTTAGCATCTCTGTGTTTTATAGAAGTGTTGTGACCATGTAAACTCATCGAAACCTAATCACCTAGGCATGCACTAACTGGGTGATTTGGTTGCATGAAAATGTCATGGTTGTTTAAACTAATCACTCAACATGTTAGGCTATCTTGATATTTAGTTGTTAGAGCAAGGTAGTAGACCCTAGAGGCAACAGCAGGATACACTCACTGGATAATTTGGTTTTTTGTTTGATTAATAGCATGTTTGTGTTTTATTAGAGGATTACAAGTGTTACGACCATGTGAACACATCAAAACCAATTTGTCAAGGCAAACACTCATTGGGTGATTTAGTTGATAACATGTAATGTTTTATTGGAGGGTCAAAAGAAAATGTTGTGACCATGCAAACTCATTGCTCCACATGTTAAACTATCTTTGTATTTATTGATTGTCAAAGCAAGGCAATGGACCCTAGAGGCGTAGTTTTCAACGTGTTGAGGCGAGACTAGGTTATAGTTCTCTTTTTTTTTTTTTTTTTGAATAAAACCCATGTTTTCACTATTAATTGTTGCCTAATTGCCTAGGTGATGGATTTTTGAATAAAAACCATGAATTCTAGAGTACTTAAGTTTTTTTTTTATTTCTTTTGAAGGGCTACACAATGGGGGTAGCCCAACCTCCAACCCAGGTGACCTTACCAACCAGCTGGTTGGCACCTTGCGGATAATTCTTTAAGTTCCATAGCAAGCAACAACCATCTTTCCTATTAATTGTCTATAATTTTCATAAAAAACTTGTATAAGCTTCATTCAAAAAAAAAAATCAACATATTCATGAAAAAAATGGAAGAAAGAAAAGTATCAGAAAATATAGGAGCTGAACCTCTATTTTTGTCTTAGGAAAAGAAGAAAACAAACGAAAGGGTGAAAAAAGAAGAAGAGTTAAGTCTCTAATTTGCATTTTGGAGACATTAGAGGGTCGGGTTAGGTCAGTTTTGGGTTCAACCATATAGGGTTAGGGCGGGTTTGAGAATCATGTCTTGTTATCTTTGGGGTGGAGCAGGTTCAACCGTAGTCATTGGAAGGTCAGGCTAGGGTAGAGGCGAACCTGTGCTGAACCCGACCCATTGACATCCCCATCATCTTTCCACAAATAGATCACTTTGATTATTATATTCCATAACCTTGAAGTTAATATAAGAAATAATTCATCAAAAAAGGTTAATTATAAGAAATATGCAATATATATAGGCAGTTGGCCTCATTGCCTCAGGTATGAGTTTTGTAAGCCCAAAACATAGAGAGCCTATGTTGAGGATTTTGTGCAGATTTGGTAGTTGTTTTTGTTTATTAGTTGTTTAGATAGGAATTGGGGACCACAGCACTCTTGTTGGACCCTTTGG